TAATATGTTTAATGTTATTTATTATTTTATTATCGAATTGTATTATTATTCATTATTAGGTTTTATTATTCCATATTAATTTCATAATTAATTGACATATACCATGTAATGTATAAAGTGTAAAATATTATAGTAAATCATTATAAATAAATGATTATGGTGTTTAATATTCTTTCATTAATTACTACATATTTAATATTCTTTCATTTACTATATATTTTATACACTCACTGTATAATCAACTTAAATTAGTTAAACTCATCATGCAATGCATTTCCTTCATTTTATTATCATAAACTAATAGATAACTAAGTAAATAAACATCCTTCAAAGTTTGAATAAAAATTTACAAGATTTTCTTACATTTTCCGTGGTGTTTGGTCAATTTTTACCGATATCGATAATTTTCTAATACTTCCATTGAAATTTCCTTATTTTTAGACCACTGATATTTTCGAAACCATCAATATTTTAGACCCTGTCGTTGGTGGAACATGCTAACACTATTTGTTTAGTTTAATATAAAACAACAGTAATGTAATAATATAAAATAAAAAAATCAAGTTATCTGAGTTTAATTAAATCACAGAGTCAATTCATCATTGACTGAAAGTCAAACCCACAAACCACTTGCATAGCCCAACCTAAACTAATCTACCAACAAGACTATGTTATATAAGAATAAGAGCATTTCTAAGGGAGTATGCAAATGAAATTGACAAAATTGTACTATAAGTTTATAACAACCAAGGGACTAGGCAATGCAAGTTTACAAATCATTATTATATTATTTATTTTTATCTTTTATATTTAGTATTATATTTTATAAAAAGTAGATGAAAAAGTGAAGATGATATTTTATTATAAAAAGTAAATGGTGCCTAATATACCTCTTCAAAGTAGGTAATTTTATTATAAAATGCCTTTAGCTGTTTTTTTTTTTTTTTTTTTTTTTTTTTTTTTTTGTTGAACTTCAATTTGGATTTTGTTTTCTTGTATTTTTATTTTTGTATGGATCATATTTGACGGTGGAAGACTAGAAGTCTACCACTAGAAAATTTCCTTGCATTAGGATTTGGTTTTCTTCGAAGCTTCTTCCCATAGGGTTGTAGTTGTTGGTCATTGTGTATGGAAACCTCCCGATAAATTCCAACTCAAAAGCAAAGGTTTGTATGAAAAGTATTTTGAAAAGCTTATAGATATGTATGTTATCCAAGTTGTTTTATTGCTGTACGTACTGCTGATCCTTCTCGTAAATATCAATTGTCTATCATGGACATGAATATAATTTATATTTATTTTAATGTCTTCATATGTCATTTATATGTGTACCATGAATGTTATTTGATTTTCTTATTTTATCTAAAATCAATTTTTGACACTCTTTCATTATTTTTAGGTTGCTAGAATTTGGGTTATACTTAAAACATTAAACTTGTAATAGTAAAATTTAATCATTATAATGAATTCTTAAATATATATATTTTTTATAAAAATAATGTATATTGTAATTATAAAACTATTTAAAATTGACCCTCTTGATACAACCTAAACTTTGGGTGATTAATAAGACAAAATCTTAAATAAATAAAAAAGCCCAACAAGAAATTGGGGCCGTATGCATGTTCCTCTACATGGACCCAACAGGAAAATACAAAAGCAAAGCTTTGTACTTAAAACGTGTAAAGTAGGGGGCCTATTGTGTTGCCACTCGTGCCCTTTTCTTTCTTCAGTGTGTGAATAATGTTTTGAATTTTTGGCCGCCGACACTGCTTGGCTAATTATTTCACTTCTCGTTTTTCCATGTCTGATTATTTTTCTGGATCGTTTTGTAGCTTCGTGCATGTCAAGTCAAGTCAGCTAGTACAAATTGCTAAACTAAAAACCTGATCTAGCTTAATTAGTCTCTGCAACCGACTGCTTTCTACAACAAAGGTCACGAATCAATATATACATCCAATTTGGAGCTAGCCCAGAAACGTTTATATGCATGTTTTGAGTTGTGTGTTTTGCAGGTTGTGGATAGGAACATGAATTCTTCTTCTCCTCCTCCTCCTTTGGCTGCTCCCCTTCAAACAAGGCACGATGTGTTTCTTAGTTTCAGAGTTGAAGACACACGCGATACTTTGCCTAGCAATATTCACGCGGCTTTAGGTCGGAGGAACATTGAGACCTGCATAGATACCAGACCTGGGAAAGGAGACGACATTGGACCTGCCCATATGGAAGCAATCGAGAAATCAAAAATTTCAGTAGTCATTTTCTCAAAAAACTATGCTTCTTCCGCATTGTGTTTGAAAGAACTTGTGCATATAGTTGGATGCAAGAAAAGAGATGGACAAATTGTTATACCCATTTTTTATGGCATAGATCCATCATATGTTCAAGAGAAAAAGGGAGCTTATGGGCTTGCAAGTCGTCGATTTAAGAAACGTTTGAAGGGCAATATGGATGAGGTGCCCAACTGGAGGGATGCTTTGGAGGAGGCAACCAATATGTCTGGGTTTTATTATTCAAGCAAATCAAGGTAACTAGCTCTCTAACTTGTATCAATTTCTAGTTGTTATCATTTGACTCATATATGCTCCTATTGTTTGTCTTTCATAATGATATTTTCCAGGAGGTCAGAGGCCGATTTTGTTGAGACGGTTGTCCGAGAAGTTTTGGCCAAATTGAACCGCGAATTGTCCAGTGATTTAAGAGGCCCTTTTGAAATTGAAAGCAAAATTGAGAAAATTCAAGCGAAGCACGATGTGTTTCTTAGTTTCAGAGGTGAGGACACACGCGATACTTTTACCAGCCATCTTCTCAAGGCTTTACGTGGGAAGAACATTGAGACCTTCATAGATAACAGGCTCGAGAGAGGAGATGAAATCGCTCCTGCCCTTCTAGAAGCAATCGAGAAATCGAAAATTGCACTAGTCATTTTCTCAAAAGACTATGCTTCTTCCGCTTGGTGTTTGAAAGAACTTGTGCATATACTTGGATGCAAGAAAAGCTATGGACAGATTGTTATACCCATTTTTTATCTTATAGATCCATCAGATCTACGAAAGGAAAAGGGAACTTATGCACTTGCAATTAATGAACTTCAAAAAAGTTTCAAGGGCAGTACGGATGAGGTGGTTAACTGGAGGAAGGCTTTGAAAGAAGCAGCCAATATGTCTGGGTTTCCTTATTCAAGCAAAACAGGGTATACTAAATCTCGAACTTGTATCAATTTCTTTTTGTGATAATTTGATTCATATACTTACTATTGTTTGTCTTTCATAATGATACTTGCCAGGAGGACACAGGCCGATTTTGTTGAGGAAGTTGTTCAACATGTTTTGACCAAATTGAATCGCGAATCGTCAGGGGATTTAAAGGATCTGGTTGGAATTGAAAAGAAAATTGAGAAAATTGAGTCGTTATTATGCTTGGATTCGCCAGGTGTTTGCTGTGTAGGTATTTGGGGCATGGGTGGTATTGGCAAGACCACCCTTGCTGATGCTGTATTTCACAGGCAGTCCTCTAAATTTGATGCTGCTTGTTTTCTTGCAAATGTCAGGGAGAACTCAGAACAAACGAATGGACTACAGCAGTTGCGAAATAAACTTGTTGGTGAGATATTAAAGCAAGGTGTGAATATCGACACTCCGTCTATACCACCTCATATTCAAGATAGGCTCAGGCGTACGAAGGCGCTCATTGTTCTTGATGATGTGAATGCTCGAAAACAACTAGAAGATCTTGTTGGTGATCATGATCGGTTTTGCCAAGGAAGTCGAATCATTATAACCGCTAGAGATAAAGGCCTGCTTGAGCAAAAAGTTGACCATGAAAAGATATATAATGTTGAGGGATTAGGTTCTAATGAAGCTCTTGAGCTCTTTCATTCGCATGCTTTTGGAAATAAGTCTCCAAAAACAGCTACTTGAGCAAAAAGTTGACCATGAAAAGATATACGATGTTGAGGGATTAGGTTCTGATGACGCTCTTAGGTTCTTTCATTCCCATGCTTTTGGAAATAAGTCTCCAACAACAGATTACACTGAGTTGTCAAGAGAGGTGGTGGATTATATTAAGGGCATTCCATTAGCTCTTAAACTTATGGGGTCCTCATTCCGTCGTTGCAAGAGCAAACAAGAGTGGGAAGTTCTATGGAAAAAAGTGAAAAGAGTTCCAATAGGAGAAATCCAGAAAGTGTTGAGAGTAAGTTACGATGGATTAGATAACGATGAGAAGGAAATATTTCTTGATATAGCATGTTTTTATAAAGGCCATAAGAGGAAAGATGTAGAAAGAATGTTAGATAGTTGTGATTTCTTTGGGGAAACAGGAATAAATGATCTTATTGATAGGTCTCTCATATCAATTTCAAAAGATAGATGGTTCAAAGGACGAATAGAGATGCATGATTTGGTGCAAGAAATGGGTAGGGCAATTGCTCGAGAACAACGCAGTAGGTTGTTCAATGATGAGGATGTCTATCAAGTATTGACAAATAACCAGGTACATAGTAATATTCACATTTACAATAAACAAGCCAGATTATTCCTACAAATGTAATTTTGTATATTATATTTACATTTATATTTTGCTCTTGATTGTCAGAGAGATGGACATGTTCAAGCAATATCCCTTGACTTGAATATGATGGAAAAACTACACTTGGAGTTGGAACATGCAAACTTCGAAAATATGTATCAACTGAGATTCCTATGTGTCACAGATTATTTATTTGAGGGAATTCAAGGTCGTCCCAATATTGTTTCTCTTGATCTTCCCAATTCTGTTAGATGTCTTGAGTGGAGGCTTTATCCTTGGAAATCTTTGCCATCAAAATTTTCTACTCAAAATCTTGTTGCCCTTCATATGCCGTCCAGCAAAGTTGGGGGGCAACTTTGGAATGAAGACCAGGTATATTATATATGCTTATTTTAGTTCTTGTATAACATGTGGCCTAGAAAGTAATAATCTGCAAGCTAAATTATTAATTCTTGTTTAATTTGTTACAGAGTCCTGTGAACTTAAAACGGATCAATCTTTCTTTCTCCAAACATCTAATTGAAGTCCCAAATCTCTCTCGGAGTCGGAAAATTGAGCATATAAATCTGAAAGGTTGTCGAAGTTTGGTTGAAATTCCTTCGTATTTTCAACATCTTAGCAAGCTTACTTATCTTGACCTTAAGGAATGCACATCTCTCAAAAATCTTCCCGAGATGCCATGCAATCTTGAATTTTTAAATTTGTCAATGACAGCAATAGAGGAATTGCCTTCATCAGTTTGGTCTCACGAAAAAATATCTCACTTAGATATTACATATTGTAGAGACCTTAAGAGTCTTCCAAGCAACAGTTGTAAGCTGAAACTCTCGGATTCTCTTAGTCTACAAGGCTGCCAATCTCTTTGCGAGTTTTGGGAGCTTCCCACGAATACAAGAGTGCTAGATTTGAGTCGTAGAAGCTTTTTGAAAAATGTTGTGAGTCTCCCAACGAACATTTGGAAGTTGAAATCTCTGGAGAGCCTTGATCTCAATTGCTGCTTCAAATTTCAAAACTTCCCTGAAATCTCGGAGGCTATGGAACGTCTGGAGTTTCTAAATTTATCAGATACAGCGGTTAAAGAGGTACCCCCATCAATTGGAAATCTAGTTGCGCTTCGAAAATTATTCCTGGTTGGGTGCAATATACAAGAAATCCCTGATGACCTCTTTTGCTTAACCTCATTACAAGAGTTAGATATGAGTTTGAGCAAAATTAAGAGCATACCTGCAAGCATCAAACAAGCTGCTCAACTGTCTCGCCTATCCCTCGAGGATTGCAAGAGCCTTGAATCTTTACCAGAGCTCCCCCCATTACTGCAACATCTTGAAGCAAATGGTTGCACGTCACTGAAGACAGTGTCAAGTTCAAGCACTGCAATCACACAAGGTTGGGAAGAATATATATTTTCTAGAGGGCTTCATGAGAAACACATATTTTCTAATTGCCCAAAGTTGGATGAGAATGTACGAAGCAACATAATGGGTGATGCACAGCTCAGAATTATGCGAATGGCAACTGCATCGTCAAAGTTTAAAGAAGACAAAATTGAACAACCATCATATGATTCAGATAATAGTGATGATTCAGATATTAGCTACGATGACTATGAGGTCTCTCTCTCTCTCTCTCTCTCTCTCTCTCTCTCTCTCTCTCTCTCTTCTGTTGAATAAGTTGCTGTTTGTTTTTCACGACTTTAATAACTATGATGTCCATATCCATGGTACAGGAATCGTTACGCAATAGATCTTATGTTGCCATTTGTTATCCCGGAAATGAAATTCCAAATTGGTTCAACCATAAGAGTGAGGGATGTTCAATAAAGATTGAGCTTCCTCGTGATTGGTTTTGCTCAGATTTCTTGGGTTTCGCTCTATCTCTTGTCGTTGCTGCTGCTACAAATGATATGAAGGTTGGATGCAAGTACAACTTCAAAACTAGTAATGGTGAAAGCCACGAAGTCAACCATCATTTGGATACTTCGTACCTTGTATATGGCAGTGAGTCACATGACGTGTATGTGTGGTGGGATAATAATGTCTTTGAAGAAGTTGTAGAGGGAGCTCAAAGCCTCGCTGCATTTTACAAACTTGTTACTGAGGTCAATGTTGACTTCACCGCACTGACTGGTATATTTTACAAACCTGAACCCGTTCGGGTGGAAAAGTGTGGGATATGTATGTTATATGGCAAAGATGTTGAGATGATAAAGCAGAGGGCTCTGTAGATCAAGCCGATATCCCTAAATTCAAAATTTCATTTTATTTGAGCTGTTTGCTTTGCAAGCCTTTGGCTGAGGACGCTTTTGAGTTTGTTAGGCTTAGGGGTGTCTTTCTTGTTTTAACCCTTGGCCCTCTCCATCGCCAAGCTTTTTGGCTGAGGATGCTTTTGAGTTTAGTAATTTTCTTCATTCAATTCAAGTATTAAATTGTTAATAGTCTATGGATGCATTAAATGCAACTGCTGTGCTTGCTGAAACTTAAAATTTCTCACTAGATATTATGAGACTGGGGGCATAAAAGAGTAGATATTTTTGGAAACTCAGATCTATAATACATTGGCCTCTTGGTCTTGTAGAGCAATGGCCTCTCAATTAGTGCAAAAACAAAGTCAATGAAAGATTGGCTTATCATGGAATTTCTGGGTCAACTTTAAATGTAATTTTCACACTTTTTTCCACCAATTATGGGGACATCAAATTTACTCACTTCTCTGATTGTGCTGTAATCGGACAGCTCAACATTCACTGTTTTTTTTCTCAGACCAAAAAAAAAAACATTAAATGAAAATAAAAATTGTACTCGGTGCTACTAATATTGGCAATAATAAACATTGCCCCAAGCTTTTAGGATATATATATAGTCGTTGTCACAACAAAAACAACCCCTTTTTTTGTTAATAAAAGTAATTTTTTTAAAATCCAAAGTAAATACTTAATTGCCGTTTATACATCTCAATGAACAACTAAGCTGCAAAACTCGTCAAATACATATAATAAAATTGCGAGTATGAAATTAGTTACAAATGCATGAATATTTGAATTTATTTGATACATGTGATTTGCGGTTTTTTTCTTTGTTTTTCTATTTATTGAGATTGGTGATTTACAGTATAATTTTTTGTAACGATAAAGAAATAAGGCATGGGCATTTTATCCTTTACCAAAATTAAAAGCATCCCACCTTACATTTGTATCCCCTTTCCTCCTTGCTTTCTTATCTTCCCCATGGATGCCGACAAACACCATGGCTAATGGTCAATGGCAAAGTGATGATGGTACTTGATCATTTCAATTTTCCTAAATAATTTAAAAAATGATAAAAGTAACAATAATCATTTCGGACCTTTACAAGTTCAAAACAGAAGCACCTCTCAAAAAAGCCGATTCCCGGTTTTCCAGAAGAAACAGAAGATAGAGAGAGGAGAGAGAGAGACAGTGACACTCAAAGCAAAAGACTAAAAATCACTCTCTCTCTCTCTCTCTCTCTTTACTGTGCCCACACCTTGCAGCTGTCTCCAGCCCATTTCCCTCCCGATTCCCATTCCCCCACCTTTATATAATCCCTTCTCCTCCCTCCTCCTCTCTTTCATTCTTCCCCACACCAACAAAATGACCCTCCCCAAAAATCTCATCTCCCTCTTCCTCGTCCTCGTCATCGCACGTGACAGCGGACTCGCACGTGCCAATGCCAGTCCTTCAGTTCAGTCCCTGAACACTCACGAGCTCATCAACCCGAAGCTGCCGCCTCGCGCCATCTCCTCCTCCAAGAAGTTCGAGGGCTCCTCCGACCTCGTCCACCTACGCTACCACATGGGCCCCGTCCTCTCCTCCTCCCCAATCAACATCTACCTCATCTGGTACGGCAAGTGGGCCCCATCCCAGAAGCTCCTCATCACCGACTTCATCCACTCCATCTCCGCCGACGCTCACTCCGCCGCCGCCCCCTCCGTCGCCGAGTGGTGGCGCACCGTCTCCCTCTACACCGATCAGACCGGCGCCAACGTCTCCCGAAACGTCGTCGTCGCCGGCCAGTACTCCGACCTCCGCTACTCCCATGGGACCCACCTCACCCGCCTCTCCGTCCAGCAGGTCATCGCCTCCGCCGTCAGATCCGCCCCCTTCCCCGTCGACCACAAGCACGGCGTCTACCTCATCCTCACCTCCGAGGATGTCACCGTTCAGGACTTTTGTCGAGCGGTTTGTGGGTTCCACTACTTCACCTTCCCCTCCATGGTGGGCCACACTCTCCCCTACGCCTGGATCGGAAACTCCGGCAAGCAGTGCCCGGAGGTCTGCGCCTACCCGTTTGCCCTCCCAGGGTACATGGGCGGAGGTGGGCCGGGATCTCTCTCTCCGCCGAACAGGGACGTGGGTGTGGACGGGATGATCAGTGTAATCGGGCACGAGCTCGCCGAGCTGGCCTCGAACCCGCTGATCAACGCCTGGTACGCCGGCGAAGATCCGACGGCACCGACGGAGATCGGAGACTTGTGCGAAGGATTGTACGGGACTGGCGGCGGTGGCGGGTACATTGGGCAGGTGATGCGGGACAGGGAAGGCAGGACATTCAATGTGAATGGAAGCAAAGGGAGGAAGTTTTTGTTGCAGTGGATTTGGAGCCCTGTTCTCAAGGCCTGCGCTGGGCCTAATGCTTTAGACTAAATTGAATTTTGAAAAAAAAAAAAAAGAAACTTGTATTATTTTGATTTTTCTTAATTTATAGGAGGGATAGGAGGCGGAGGGAATCCGGGTTTGGGGTGGCGGTGGTGGTGGAGGAGGATGATAAATTAAGCTTTGCTTGAGCTTATTGTAAGTTTTTTAATATTATTTTTTTATAGTTAGGATATTTAGATATCAAATTTTATAGCGTATGTTTATATGTTCATATGGTTTTCCGGCCATTTTTTTTTCTTCCCCATTTGAAGGAAATTTGCATTTGCAATTTTGTTCAATCATAAGTTGGTAAGAAATTCATAGCACAAGTTTTAGTAAAGAGCTGAGCTTAATCAAGTACTGTGAGCCCTTTTACAGTTTGGATTGGCCAATTTGCTTTTGAACGAATGACACTGATAATATCTCTAGTTAATTACGCGCACTGTTATGCGATAATACGTGATTGATTTGAAACACGGTCAAAATAGTGTGTTGCATTGTAATATCTCAAGTTAATTACACGCATTGTTATGCGATAATGCATGATTGATTTGAAACATAGTCAAAATAGTGTCTAATTAATTATGCATTGTAATTCGATAATGTGTGATTGATTAGAAATACCGTCAAAATAACATCAAATTAGTTGTGTATTGTTATTCGATAATGCGTGATTGATTAGAAATACCTTCAAAATATCCCGCCGTTGTATCCAACTTCTTGCATAGCAGAGGGAATGCTTAGCACAACAACAAATGTCATATCTCACAGTCGTCGTCATGATCTGTCGAAGACAGTGATACAGGAAGTTGAAGTCACAATTCCAAGTGGGGTTAGCATGTCTTGACACCAAGACAAGGAAACCCATGTTAAATTAATTAATAAAGTATTTATTGAACATAAGTCCAAAACTGTGATTAGATATTCGTGTTTGTCATTTGGTGGACGTAATCTTATATTATGCAAGTTAAAAAAAATAATGCAAAAAGATAGCTTCAAATAGTAATCACCACCACCACCTAATTACAAGCATAATGGTCATGTGGGTTCTTCCCGCTCCTCTGCTTATGTTCTTTAGGCTAAAATATGATTTTTCGAAATTCCACTTTGATTCATGTAGTTTCAATTGTTTGTAAGTTATAATTTTCGTCTTTTTTTTATAATATCTGGTTTGACATAATTTCCTTTTTTTTTTTTTTTAATGAAATGAAGACAATTACAACGAAGATTCTCGAAAAATCCCAATTTTTTTCATTAAAAAAAATTGGAAACTAAACACAAAGGTGTACATAATTATGTCCCAAAAAATCATCTTAATTTAAAGATGGTGAAGGAGGGCATGATTTTTTGTAAGTTATTTTATGATGGGGGTGGCAAATTTGAGTCTTTTTCTAGTCAAATGAGTGATACTTTGGTAGAGAGAGAGAGACTTGAACAAGAGGCCATACTCCTCATGACCCAACTTTAATGGCACATTTGTGATCTACAGCTAATCTTGGGGACCGCAAAAGTAGACATAATAATATTATTAATTTATTATAAGATAAGAGAAGAGGCCTTGGGGCTTGCAATTTTTCGCAAAGTCTTTGGAGTGGCTGCTTGCAAGGAAATAAACAAGAGGTTCGTTACAAAAAAAAATGTCTAGGGTCGGTCCGAAAGTTCCCAATACCAAACTCTCTGCAGATGCCGGTGGTAATAAACAAATGTCCCTTTTCTCTTTCCCATTGACCAATTTGTTTTTCTCCATTGATGACATGGCAAATTGTTCTTCTGAATTCATTTTGAATTTCTGAATCCTAGAAATGTTTGTCATTTATTAGTGGGAAATTAAGATGATAATTAGGGTATTGGGATCATGAATTTCCCTTGGTGATTCAATCAAGTCGCACAAATTAGGGTTGAGTGTATTTGGGTCTCGAAGGGTGAAAAGTTTAAAGAATTACCACTAACTTGATCGTTAAAGATGTCTATAAGATACCACCATTGTTATTGACACTCTAAAATAATTCTCGTATAGTGTTTTAAGAGTTACTTTATCCTTACTTTTATATATGGAAGGAATACAAAAACTGACTTTTTCGAAGTGTTAATAACAATTTCCAAAGATAATCGAGAAGAGATTCGAGGTTTTCAACTACATAACTTAACTGTACCTAAAATTGGTAGAATATGACCTACTACAGGTTTGTTCCCTTTTTCGGTATCCCCAACTTGCCTAGTCAATTTTATCAAAAACTTTGGCAAAGTGAATGATAAATTAAGAGTGCTGCTATTTTCACTCACATGTCCTATTTTCTTACCCACTTTATCATCAAAATTTTAAAGACAAATTTACCCCTTCATAAAATGACTTTTAAGGACTTATGAAAAATGATTAAAAAAACAAAACAATTGCCTCAAACTTAAAATTAAAAAAAGTTTAAAAAATCCAAAGCACAAAGATCAAACGTCAAATCCAAAGCACCGCTCAACCTCTCCCTCTTGTTTTATCTTCATCCTAAAACCCTAACCCCAAAAGTTTTGAGCCAAAACGATGGATTCTTCATCAGAAAGTCCAGTCGTCGTGTACTCTTCCCATTTGTAGGAGGAGGCTAGCAAATCCCAATGATCAACATGACAAAAGTCTTCTCCTTCCACAAAGCAAATCCCGATGTAATCAGATGCTCATGTTGAAAATATGTTCTATTAGTTTTGTTTTGGTCGTCAAATCTCTCCAATTAGAGCAAATAATTGTTCTTTTCAGCCATTATATTAAATTTAAATGACTCACAAGTTAACAAAAAAGAGAATTTGCTTGAATTAATAATTAAAG